TGGACGGGACTGAAGCGACTTAGCAGGCGCATAGGGGAGCGGCTGCCTGGGGGGTAGTCTGCGCCGAGGGCGGTCAGCCCAGACTTTGGGCTCTGCTCCTTCCTGGCCTTCTGGCCAGAGACCCGGCGGCACGTGGCCTGGGCGCTCATCTGCCTCGTGTCCCCGGGCCCAGGAAGAGCGCAGCCGGCTACAACCTCACCGGGCTCTTTGTGGGCTCCGAGGGAACGCTGGGCCTCATCACAGCCGCCACCCTGCGCCTGCATCCTGTCCCTGAGGCCACGGTGGCCGCCACCTGTGCGTTCCCCACCGTCCAGGCGGCGGTGGACAGCACCGTACACATCCTCCAGGCTGCAGTACCTGTGGCCCGCATCGGTGAGCAGTCCAGGTGGGCTCTCTGGGGGAGGCCCCCTGTAAAGGCCAGAGTTCACTTCACCTGGCCTCTCGTTGGCCCCAGAGTTCCTAGATGAGGTCATGATGGATGCCTGCAACAGGCACAGCAAGCTGAACTGCTACGTCGCACCCACGCTCTTCCTCGAGTTCCACGGCTCCGAGCAGGCGCTGGCAGAGCAGGTGCAGCGCACAGGTGTGCTGGGGTGCTGTGGGCAGGGGGCACAGGCTGCCCCCAGAGTAGAGCTTGGTGTAACTCCGCCCCCCCCCACCCCAGAGGAGGTCATCCGTCATAACGGAGGCTCCCACTTCTCCTGGGCCAAGGAGGCGGAGGAGCGCAGCCGCCTCTGGGCAGCCCGGCACAACGCCTGGTATGCAAGCCTGGCCCTGCGGCCGGGCTGCAAGGTGAGCGGGCTGGGATGGACATGGGAGCCTTTCCTCAGCCTGGTGCCCGGTCGTCCAGGGCGGCCAGCTGAGGCCCTGGCGGGCAAGACTGCCAAATCCTTGGGAGGGAGCCCCTTCCTCGAACCAGGCCCTGGGTGCAGGGACCAAGCAGTGGCAGCACAGTGCCCTTAGGAGTTTGAACACAGAAGGCAGACTTCCTGGAGGAAGAGGTGGTGAAGGGGGAGGTGGTAACCGACAGGAAGGGGAGGCTGGGCCCCAGGTAGCCAGTGCTGGGGGACCTGATTGGGGGTGGGGAGCAGGCTGAGATCCCTGGGAGCCTACCTGGGCCAGTCCTCTTGTTCCCTAGGGGAAACTGAGGCTTAGAGATGGAGCAGGCACATGCATGTCAGAGGTCGAGCTCCCTGAGGCCATCTGTAGCCTTGACCCCTTACCTCCCGGGCATGCCGGGGGAGGAGGGGACGCTCACGGAGCTGCCGCAACTCAGGGCTATTCTACCGACGTGTGTGTGCCCATCTCTCGGCTGTCGGAGATCCTGGTGCAGACCAAAGAGGACCTGGAGGCCTGGAGACTCACAGGTTCCGCCAGCCTCCCGCGGGCGCCTGGGGCGGGCCGGGGTGGGGCCGGGGCCGCAGCTCTGTCTTTCGGGCCCCCAGGAACCGTCGTCGGGCACGTGGGCGACGGGAATTTCCACTGCATCCTGCTGGTAGACCCCGAGGACCCTGAGGAGCTCCTCAGGGCCCAGGCCTTTGCAGAGCAGCTGGGCAGGTCAGGGCGAAGCGGGAGGCGGGGCGGGGCGGCGGGGCGGGGGGCGAGGGGGCTCCCGCTGAGCGTCCCTTCCGGTTGCCTCCCAGGCGCGCACTGGCGCTCCACGGCACGTGCACCGGGGAACACGGCATCGGGCTGGGCAAGCGGCAGCTGCTGCTGGAGGAGGTGGGCGTGGTGGGCATGGAGACCATGCGGCAGCTCAAGGCCACGCTGGATCCCCGAGGCCTCATGAACCCAGGCAAGGTGCTGTGAGGGGCTCCGAGCACCTGACCCACAAGCCCCCCCAGAGGGTGGCACCTCCCGTTCTGGAACCTGTTTTCAAGCCCCCAGACTCTGCAGGGGTCTTTACCAGCTGGAAAGATCTTCACTTGCCTTCTTAAACAAACCCGGGACCAGGGAGAGGAGACAGAAGCTTGGACAGGCCACCGGCTTCTCCCCAGCTCTCTTGCTGTCCTCAGGAGCCTTTGCTTCAACAAAATTGCTCGGGGTCATTCCCAGTGAAGCAGCTTCCTCTCTGCTCTGACACATCCGGGCCTGGCTGGGAGAGGCACCATGGGTCACCCCAAAGACTAGAACCACTCCCCTCCACAGCCCAGGACAGGAGAACAAACGCTGGGGATGCAGCACCCATAGCCCAGCTCCATCTGCCTGGTGAGGGGAACGCCCCTTTGCTGGTGGGGAAGGGAAGTTCTGCTCTATGTTCTCAACCCTGTGCCCCCCACCCCACCCCCAAATAAACCTGAGCCCCACTTGCAGTTGTCTGGAGATGAGCAAGCTGCACCTGCGAATGGCCTCCTGTGCCTGCCTGCCCCACCTCCTCCAGATTCTGTCTTTCCGCCCGTGATGCCCTCATCCCTCACCCGGCCCCTGCCCTTTGACCTGTTGCAGCCTGAGGAGGGGACAGTGCTCAGGCTGCAGGAGGAAGGTCACTTCCAGGGACCCAGGACCCTGTCCCAGTTGCTCTGCCTGTGAGAGCCCCAGGACCTGAGGACTACACCATGGCCATCCTCACTTACCATCGACCCCACCCCCCCTCCCACTGAGCCCCCAAACTGGGCTCTAGAACATTCTGATCATGTCTTTCAAGTGGCTGCTACCACTCACTGGAAATGGAAGTGATTTTCCTGGTACCACACCTGTCCACGGTGTGGTATGTTTCTCTACCAGCTTTCTTGACTCAACGCCAGGCTCTGTCCCCCCTGAGGCCTGCCCCAGCCTTGGTCACGATTTTTAGCCAGAGCTCCTCCTCATCCGGGGTGCCTGGCAGTTGTTCCCCCTAAGCCCACACGAGGGCGCCTGACACCACAAAGCTCAGACACCAGTATCTGCTTGGGGTCGCGCTCCCCTCCACAGTGACTTACAGCTCTCAGCTCTGGGCGCCCTGTTTCCCAGGGCCTAGCAGATGCCTGGAGCCCAGGAAACAGATCTCCAAGCTCCCACCCACCTGCAGGTCCCAGGACCCTCTGGTGCAGACCCACCTCCCTCCCTGGTGGCCTTGGCCCCCAGGAAAGAGGCTAAGCAAGGGGTGCAGGGGAGCCAGCATAACCCCCCAGCTCACTGCACTCCTATCCTCCCAAGACCCCGCTGAGCTCCTTTCCTGCCTCTGCCCCCTCGCCCCACCCCATTCACCCCATCCACCCCATCAACTGTTCAGGCCCCCAGCAGAGCCAGCCCCGCTAACAGACAAGCTTGGTTCGAACGACTCCTCTGCTAACACCGGGCTGAGCCCTGAGTTCGCTCTTCTGTGACATTTCTGTCCCTTGGATGTGCCAAGGGTGGTGTGGGGCAAGTCTCATGCCTCACCCCCCCCACCCCCCGCCTCAAAACCACCCAATAAAGGAAACAGGAGCACTAACCATCAGCCACATGAAATCACTGGTGCCTCTCCTCCCCGCAGGCTGCCTGCCACCAGCAGCCCTCCAGGGGCAGCATTCTGCAGGCCAAGGCTCCTGCCTGGCGTACTACCCCACACCCACCCCCAGCGCCTGGCAACTAGTAGGTGCTCAGCCAATTTGTAAGGAGAAGCTCCAAACATGCAGGAGAGTTGAAAGAACAAGTACACTGTTCACTGAAGATTCAACAATGAATGTTGTTACCTGGCTTGCTTCATGTGTGTATTTTTGGGAAGCCATTTGGAATTGAGTTACAGATTTTTTCACATCATTCACCTATACAATTCAGCATCTGTTTCCTAGGAATAAGGACCTAAAAACCTCGACATGATTAACCAACCTCCTAAATGATCTTTTAGAAATCTGTCTCCACTAAGATTCACTCTTGGTGTTGTAAAGGTTTATAGGTTATGAAAAATGTGTAATGTCAGGTATCCACCATCAAAGTTATCAGCGAACAGAGGCTAGAGAAATATATTAAGCAGTCCCACAAGAATGCAATCATCCAAAAACCAAATGTGGGCAATTCTACAGAACAAGTGTCCTAGTTTCTTTAACAAGTAAATGGCATGGAAAACTGGGGGAGAGGGAAACTGTTGTATATTAAGAGAGGCTTATGAGACACATTAACCAGTTGCTCTGTGAGGGCTTTCCCTAGATCTTCATTTGAACTAACCAACTGTAAAAGAGACTTTTTTTTTTTTTTAATTTTTGGCAGTGTGACATGTGGGATCTTAGTTCCCTGACCAGGGGTTGAACCTATATATCCCCTGCACTGGAAACGTTGAGGCTTAACTACTGGATCCCTAGGTAAGTTACAAAGAGACAACTTTTGAGATAAGCCAGTTAAGCAACACATTGAAAGTGGACATGTGGATTCATTTCAAATGTGGTTGGGGAGAAAGACCCAAGTAGGAGTTTGTATTCCTGGTTTGACTGGGAAGAAAAACAAAGACATGAATAGCTTTATCTCAGTAATGTTAGCAACACATTTTTTCAGTTTCTGTAGGAGGAAAACCAAGCTTGGAATAGCTTCAAGAGCAGCAGCCACATCACTCCCCAAGACCCTGGGATATGCCCAGTGGGAGAGTGGAGACAAAGGGACGCAACTATCTTTTCCTTCACTTACCTGGTAAATTGCTGCTCATCCTTAGCACTCCTCTTCCAGGAAGTCTTCCTGGTTTGCCTTACTGCAATAGCCCACCCCATCCCCCAAGAGCCTCCCTGTGCTTTCCTACCCAGAGCCCCATCAAGGCTTACTCTGTGACACTGAAGCTGGGTCTTGTGGGATGAGAAAGCTCAAGGGTATTTGCCAAGCCCCTGAGCCTGTCTGGAGCTCTGGGTACTCGGACTACAAGAAGTCATTGCATAATCTTAAATTAGGTAGTGGCTGCTGTTCCGTCTCCCTTTGGTTCACTAAACCTCACCTCTCCTTCAAGAAGTACTGACTCAGCAAGCTCTGGCAGGGCCACCTTAAGGCCGCACCACCTTAAGCAGCCCCGCCCCCAGCACAACCAATAGCCTGGGGCGGTAACTGGCGACTGCACAGCTATGGCCAACCTGCTCAGGCCTGCAACTTGGGGACTGTTCTCCTGGAGGGGCTACTGCTCCAGGGGGACGCAGGTGCGTAGGAGACGAGGAGCCCCTTAGAGGGTGGGGGGCCCGGCTCCGTGCTGCCCCAGCATCCGGAGATCTCCGGGGGAGAATCGCTGGGCTCACCCCGTGTCAGATGTGGGTGTTGAGTGAGAGGGGCTGAAGCCCCCGCGTCTGCCATGACCGGGACTGGGGGGTTTCAACTGAAAGGTTTATGGACTCCAGAGCGCCCCCTTGGGACTCCGGCACGCACGCACACGCGCGCCCACACACACACACAGTCTCTCTCTCTCTCTCTCTTCCCCCCGTCAGTAAAATGGGAAGAAATACAGAGAAGGGCTCCAAGAGCCCTAGGAGCCCCCGGCCAACGTGGGGCGGGGCTGTGGGTGCCTCTGTTCACAGGCAATGGAAGCCCCACCCCACCAGCCAGGTGGCCCCAGGTATCTTTGAGTGACCCTGCCAACGTGTGTTTCTCCCCTGCAGGGCAGACTCAGCGCGGGCTTTGTGGAGGCTCTGAAGGCAATTGTGGGGAGCCCCCACGTGTCTACCGCGGCTGTGGTCCGAGAGCAGCACGGGCACGATGAATCCATGCACATGTGGGTCCCCCCCCCACATCAGAAGGCCCCTGAAAGTGAGGGCCCTGGGGTGTCTTCGGCCCCCTTTCGGGTGCTCTGGCATTCTCCACCTCTCCTCTATGCCTCCAGAGGGTGTTCTCTGCCTACTGCGCAGCTTCAGGCCCTGCAATAGCTCCAAACACGAGCAGGACCTGAGGGTAGCACACACCCTACACTTTGAGGGTCTGGTTGCAGGTGCCAACCTCCGGACGCCGTGGTGTGGCCCCAGAACGTGGAGCAGGTCAGCCAGCTGGCGGCCCTGTGCTACGGCCAAGGCGTTCCCATCATCCCCTTCGGCACAGGCTCCGGCCTGGAGGGTGGCGTCTGCGCGGTCCAGGTATGCGCGGCGGGCGGCCTCCTCCGCGGGCCGGGCTCTCCGGTCACACTTGTCACATGCGCGGCAGGCGGCCTCTTCTGCCGCGCGCGGCGCCCCTTACCTGCCATCCTGGAGCTCGGGTCCGCCTGCTGGGAGCCATGAGCTGAGGCCCTCCTGGAGGAAGACCTAGGTCAGCCATCCTTTGAATGCCTCCCGCCAGGGTGGCGTTTGTGTCAACCTGATCCGCATGGACCGAATCCTGGAGCTGAATCCCGAAGACTTCTCTGTGGTGGTGGAACCCGGCGTCACCCGCAAAGCTCTCAACACCCACCTGCGGGACTGCGGCCTCTGGTTCCCTGTGGGTAGGCTGGGGCGCGGGGCCTTTCCCCGGGCCTGGGGGGCTCCCTGGGGACAGGGTGTTTCTGAGGCTCAGCGGGCCCCAAGCTGCCCTCTGCCCTCCAGACCCAGGTGCAGACGCCTCTCTCTGCGGCATGGCGGCCACCGGAGCCTCGGGCACCAACTCTGTGCGCTACGGCACCATGCGCGACAACGTGCTGAACCTGGAGGTGGTGCTGCCCGGCGGACGGCAGCTGCACACCGCGGGCCGCGGCCGGCGCTTCTGGTGAGCGCCCTCTCCCGGCCGGCGCCGGGGCCTCTGGGAGAGGCGAGACAGGACACTGTCCTGTGGGCCCAAGCTGGTGGTCCAGAGGCCTGATTGGGGTTGTGCCAGGGAACAGCGGGCCTTCCCTGGTGGCTCAGGCGCAGAGAATCCGCCTGCGAGGCAGGAGCCCCAGGAGCCGCAGGTTCCATCCCTGGGCGGGGAAGATCCCCAGAGGAGGGCACGGCAGCCGCCTCCAGGGCTCTGGCCTGGAGGATCCCAGCGACAGAGCAGCCTTGTCCACGGAGTCACAGAAAGCTGGACGGGACTGAAGCGACTTAGCAGGCGCATAGGGGAGCGGCTGCCTGGGGGGTAGTCTGCGCCGAGGGCGGTCAGCCCAGACTTTGGGCTCTGCTCCTTCCTGGCCTTCTGGCCAGAGACCCGGCGGCACGTGGCCTGGGCGCTCATCTGCCTCGTGTCCCCGGGCCCAGGAAGAGCGCAGCCGGCTACAACCTCACCGGGCTCTTTGTGGGCTCCGAGGGAACGCTGGGCCTCATCACAGCCGCCACCCTGCGCCTGCATCCTGTCCCTGAGGCCACGGTGGCCGCCACCTGTGCGTTCCCCACCGTCCAGGCGGCGGTGGACAGCACCGTACACATCCTCCAGGCTGCAGTACCTGTGGCCCGCATCGGTGAGCAGTCCAGGTGTGCTCTCTGGGGGAGGCCCCCTGTAAAGGCCAGAGTTCACTTCACCTGGCCTCTCGTTGGCCCCAGAGTTCCTAGATGAGGTCATGATGGATGCCTGCAACAGGCACAGCAAGCTGAACTGCTACGTCGCACCCACGCTCTTCCTCGAGTTCCACGGCTCCGAGCAGGCACTGGCAGAGCAGGTGCAGCGCACAGGTGTGCTGGGGTGCTGTGGGCAGGGGGCACAGGCTGCCCCCAGAGTAGAGCTTGGTGTAACTCCGCCCCCCCCCACCCCAGAGGAGGTCATCCGTCATAACGGAGGCTCCCACTTCTCCTGGGCCAAGGAGGCGGAGGAGCGCAGCCGCCTCTGGGCAGCCCGGCACAACGCCTGGTATGCAAGCCTGGCCCTGTGGCCGGGCTGCAAGGTGAGCGGGCTGGGATGGACATGGGAGCCTTTCCTCAGCCTGGTGCCCAGTCGTCCAGGGCGGCCAGCTGAGGCCCTGGCGGGCAAGACTGCCAAATCCTTGGGAGGGAGCCCCTTCCTCGAACCAGGCCCTGGGTGCAGGGACCAAGCAGTGGCAGCACAGTGCCCTTAGGAGTTTGAACACAGAAGGCAGACTTCCTGGAGGAAGAGGTGGTGAAGGGGGAGGTGGTAACCGACAGGAAGGGGAGGCTGGGCCCCAGGTAGCCAGTGCTGGGGGACCTGATTGGGGGTGGGGAGCAGGCTGAGATCCCTGGGAGCCTACCTGGGCCAGTCCTCTTGTTCCCTAGGGGAAACTGAGGCTTAGAGATGGAGCGGGCACATGCATGTCAGAGGTCGAGCTCCCTGAGGCCATCTGTAGCCTTGACCCCTTACCTCCCGGGCATGCCGGGGGAGGAGGGGACGCTCACGGAGCTGCCGCAACTCAGGGCTATTCTACCGACGTGTGTGTGCCCATCTCTCGGCTGTCGGAGATCCTGGTGCAGACCAAAGAGGACCTGGAGGCCTGGAGACTCACAGGTTCCGCCAGCCTCCCGCGGGCGCCTGGGGCGGGCCGGGGTGGGGCCGGGGCCGCAGCTCTGTCTTTCGGGCCCCCAGGAACCGTCGTCGGGCACGTGGGCGACGGGAATTTCCACTGCATCCTGCTGGTAGACCCCGAGGACCCTGAGGAGCTCCTCAGGGCCCAGGCCTTTGCAGAGCAGCTGGGCAGGTCAGGGCGAAGCGGGAGGCGGGGCGGGGCGGCGGGGCGGGGGGCGAGGGGCGAGGGGGCTCCCGCTGAGCGTCCCTTCCGGTTGCCTCCCAGGCGCGCACTGGCGCTCCACGGCACGTGCACCGGGGAACACGGCATCGGGCTGGGCAAGCGGCAGCTGCTGCTGGAGGAGGTGGGCGTGGTGGGCATGGAGACCATGCGGCAGCTCAAGGCCACGCTGGATCCCCGAGGCCTCATGAACCCAGGCAAGGTGCTGTGAGGGGCTCCGAGCACCTGACCCACAAGCCCCCCCAGAGGGTGGCACCTCCCGTTCTGGAACCTGTTTTCAAGCCCCCAGACTCTGCAGGGGTCTTTACCAGCTGGAAAGATCTTCACTTGCCTTCTTAAACAAACCCGGGACCAGGGAGAGGAGACAGAAGCTTGGACAGGCCACCGGCTTCTCCCCAGCTCTCTTGCTGTCCTCAGGAGCCTTTGCTTCAACAAAATTGCTCGGGGTCATTCCCAGTGAAGCAGCTTCCTCTCTGCTCTGACACATCCGGGCCTGGCTGGGAGAGGCACCATGGGTCACCCCAAAGACTAGAACCACTCCCCTCCACAGCCCAGGACAGGAGAACAAACGCTGGGGATGCAGCACCCATAGCCCAGCTCCATCTGCCTGGTGAGGGGAACGCCCCTTTGCTGGTGGGGAAGGGAAGTTCTGCTCTATGTTCTCAACCCTGTGCCCCCCACCCCACCCCCAAATAAACCTGAGCCCCACTTGCAGTTGTCTGGAGATGAGCAAGCTGCACCTGCGAATGGCCTCCTGTGCCTGCCTGCCCCACCTCCTCCAGATTCTGTCTTTCCGCCCGTGATGCCCTCATCCCTCACCCGGCCCCTGCCCTTTGACCTGTTGCAGCCTGAGGAGGGGACAGTGCTCAGGCTGCAGGAGGAAGGTCACTTCCAGGGACCCAGGACCCTGTCCCAGTTGCTCTGCCTGTGAGAGCCCCAGGACCTGAGGACTACACCATGGCCATCCTCACTTACCATCGACCCCACCCCCCCTCCCACTGAGCCCCCAAACTGGGCTCTAGAACATTCTGATCATGTCTTTCAAGTGGCTGCTACCACTCACTGGAAATGGAAGTGATTTTCCTGGTACCACACCTGTCCACGGTGTGGTATGTTTCTCTACCAGCTTTCTTGACTCAACGCCAGGCTCTGTCCCCCCTGAGGCCTGCCCCAGCCTTGGTCACGATTTTTAGCCAGAGCTCCTCCTCATCCGGGGTGCCTGGCAGTTGTTCCCCCTAAGCCCACACGAGGGCGCCTGACACCACAAAGCTCAGACACCAGTATCTGCTTGGGGTCGCGCTCCCCTCCACAGTGACTTACAGCTCTCAGCTCTGGGCGCCCTGTTTCCCAGGGCCTAGCAGATGCCTGGAGCCCAGGAAACAGATCTCCAAGCTCCCACCCACCTGCAGGTCCCAGGACCCTCTGGTGCAGACCCACCTCCCTCCCTGGTGGCCTTGGCCCCCAGGAAAGAGGCTAAGCAAGGGGTGCAGGGGAGCCAGCATAACCCCCCAGCTCACTGCACTCCTATCCTCCCAAGACCCCGCTGAGCTCCTTTCCTGCCTCTGCCCCCTCGCCCCACCCCATTCACCCCATCCACCCCATCAACTGTTCAGGCCCCCAGCAGAGCCAGCCCCGCTAACAGACAAGCTTGGTTCGAACGACTCCTCTGCTAACACCGGGCTGAGCCCTGAGTTCGCTCTTCTGTGACATTTCTGTCCCTTGGATGTGCCAAGGGTGGTGTGGGGCAAGTCTCATGCCTCACCCCCCCCACCCCCCGCCTCAAAACCACCCAATAAAGGAAACAGGAGCACTAACCATCAGCCACATGAAATCACTGGTGCCTCTCCTCCCCGCAGGCTGCCTGCCACCAGCAGCCCTCCAGGGGCAGCATTCTGCAGGCCAAGGCTCCTGCCTGGCGTACTACCCCACACCCACCCCCAGCGCCTGGCAACTAGTAGGTGCTCAGCCAATTTGTAAGGAGAAGCTCCAAACATGCAGGAGAGTTGAAAGAACAAGTACACTGTTCACTGAAGATTCAACAATGAATGTTGTTACCTGGCTTGCTTCATGTGTGTATTTTTGGGAAGCCATTTGGAATTGAGTTACAGATTTTTTCACATCATTCACCTATACAATTCAGCATCTGTTTCCTAGGAATAAGGACCTAAAAACCTCGACATGATTAACCAACCTCCTAAATGATCTTTTAGAAATCTGTCTCCACTAAGATTCACTCTTGGTGCTGTAAAGGTTTATAGGTTATGAAAAATGTGTAATGTCAGGTATCCACCATCAAAGTTATCAGCGAACAGAGGCTAGAGAAATATATTAAGCAGTCCCACAAGAATGCAATCATCCAAAAACCAAATGTGGGCAATTCTACAGAACAAGTGTCCTAGTTTCTTTAACAAGTAAATGGCATGGAAAACTGGGGGAGAGGGAAACTGTTGTATATTAAGAGAGGCTTATGAGACACATTAACCAGTTGCTCTGTGAGGGCTTTCCCTAGATCTTCATTTGAACTAACCAACTGTAAAAGAGACTTTTTTTTTTTTTTAATTTTTGGCAGTGTGACATGTGGGATCTTAGTTCCCTGACCAGGGGTTGAACCTATATATCCCCTGCACTGGAAACGTTGAGGCTTAACTACTGGATCCCTAGGTAAGTTACAAAGAGACAACTTTTGAGATAAGCCAGTTAAGCAACACATTGAAAGTGGACATGTGGATTCATTTCAAATGTGGTTGGGGAGAAAGACCCAAGTAGGAGTTTGTATTCCTGGTTTGACTGGGAAGAAAAACAAAGACATGAATAGCTTTATCTCAGTAATGTTAGCAACACATTTTTTCAGTTTCTGTAGGAGGAAAACCAAGCTTGGAATAGCTTCAAGAGCAGCAGCCACATCACTCCCCAAGACCCTGGGATATGCCCAGTGGGAGAGTGGAGACAAAGGGACGCAACTATCTTTTCCTTCACTTACCTGGTAAATTGCTGCTCATCCTTAGCACTCCTCTTCCAGGAAGTCTTCCTGGTTTGCCTTACTGCAATAGCCCACCCCATCCCCCAAGAGCCTCCCTGTGCTTTCCTACCCAGAGCCCCATCAAGGCTTACTCTGTGACACTGAAGCTGGGTCTTGTGGGATGAGAAAGCTCAAGGGTATTTGCCAAGCCCCTGAGCCTGTCTGGAGCTCTGGGTACTCGGACTACAAGAAGTCATTGCATAATCTTAAATTAGGTAGTGGCTGCTGTTCCGTCTCCCTTTGGTTCACTAAACCTCACCTCTCCTTCAAGAAGTACTGACTCAGCAAGCTCTGGCAGGGCCACCTTAAGGCCGCACCACCTTAAGCAGCCCCGCCCCCAGCACAACCAATAGCCTGGGGCGGTAACTGGCGACTGCACAGCTATGGCCAACCTGCTCAGGCCTGCAACTTGGGGACTGTTCTCCTGGAGGGGCTACTGCTCCAGGGGGACGCAGGTGCGTAGGAGACGAGGAGCCCCTTAGAGGGTGGGGGGCCCGGCTCCGTGCTGCCCCAGCATCCGGAGATCTCCGGGGGAGAATCGCTGGGCTCACCCCGTGTCAGATGTGGGTGTTGAGTGAGAGGGGCTGAAGCCCCCGCGTCTGCCATGACCGGGACTGGGGGGTTTCAACTGAAAGGTTTATGGACTCCAGAGCGCCCCCTTGGGACTCCGGCACGCACGCACACGCGCGCACACACACACACACACACAGTCTCTCTCTCTCTCTCTCTTCCCCCCGTCAGTAAAATGGGAAGAAATACAGAGAAGGGCTCCAAGAGCCCTAGGAGCCCCCGGCCAACGTGGGGCGGGGCTGTGGGTGCCTCTGTTCACAGGCAATGGAAGCCCCACCCCACCAGCCAGGTGGCCCCAGGTATCTTTGAGTGACCCTGCCAACGTGTGTTTCTCCCCTGCAGGGCAGACTCAGCGCGGGCTTTGTGGAGGCTCTGAAGGCAATTGTGGGGAGCCCCCACGTGTCTACCGCGGCTGTGGTCCGAGAGCAGCACGGGCACGATGAATCCATGCACATGTGGGTCCCCCCCCCCACATCAGAAGGCCCCTGAAAGTGAGGGCCCTGGGGTGTCTTCGGCCCCCTTTCGGGTGCTCTGGCATTCTCCACCTCTCCTCTATGCCTCCAGAGGGTGTTCTCTGCCTACTGCGCAGCTTCAGGCCCTGCAATAGCTCCAAACACGAGCAGGACCTGAGGGTAGCACACACCCTACACTTTGAGGGTCTGGTTGCAGGTGCCAACCTCCGGACGCCGTGGTGTGGCCCCAGAACGTGGAGCAGGTCAGCCAGCTGGCGGCCCTGTGCTACGGCCAAGGCGTTCCCATCATCCCCTTCGGCACAGGCTCCGGCCTGGAGGGTGGCGTCTGCGCGGTCCAGGTATGCGCGGCGGGCGGCCTCCTCCGCGGGCCGGGCTCTCCGGTCACACTTGTCACATGCGCGGCAGGCGGCCTCTTCTGCCGCGCGCGGCGCCCCTTACCTGCCATCCTGGAGCTCCGGTCCGCCTGCTGGGAGCCATGAGCTGAGGCCCTCCTGGAGGAAGACCTAGGTCAGCCATCCTTTGAATGCCTCCCGCCAGGGTGGCGTTTGTGTCAACCTGATCCGCATGGACCGAATCCTGGAGCTGAATCCCGAAGACTTCTCTGTGGTGGTGGAACCCGGCGTCACCCGCAAAGCTCTCAACACCCACCTGCGGGACTGCGGCCTCTGGTTCCCTGTGGGTAGGCTGGGGCGCGGGGCCTTTCCCCGGGCCTGGGGGGCTCCCTGGGGACAGGGTGTTTCTGAGGCTCAGCGGGCCCCCTCTGCGGGCCCCAAGCTGCCCTCTGCCCTCCAGACCCAGGTGCAGACGCCTCTCTCTGCGGCATGGCGGCCACCGGAGCCTCGGGCACCAACTCTGTGCGCTACGGCACCATGCGCGACAACGTGCTGAACCTGGAGGTGGTGCTGCCCGGCGGACGGCAGCTGCACACCGCGGGCCGCGGCCGGCGCTTCTGGTGAGCGCCCTCTCCCGGCCGGCGCCGGGGCCTCTGGGAGAGGCGAGACAGGACACTGTCCTGTGGGCCCAAGCTGGTGGTCCAGAGGCCTGATTGGGGTTGTGCCAGGGAACAGCGGGCCTTCCCTGGTGGCTCAGGCGCAGAGAATCCGCCTGCGAGGCAGGAGCCCCAGGAGCCGCAGGTTCCATCCCTGGGCG